TATGAATTGAAGTCAATTTCCACTAATTTTTTTTCTTTTTACTTCCTCAAATGCCTTAAATCTACAGACTATAAAAGGACCAACAAAGAGCATATTCACCATTACACACATGAACCATATGGAGGCATATATTATCAAGTCTAAGAAACTAACCTGCGTGGAAACACAGAGAGTATGGGCAAGTTGTGTTTTGCCAGACCTGGATGAAAATTCAATAGAGAAGTTGAATGACGTGAATGTATAAATCTAAAGCGAAGCAAGATGAATGATTATTAGTTATCAACATAAACAGGAAATGAGTTTGTGTTCCTCACCGAAACTCCCCAAAAGCTTCCGTAATAGCATTAGTTTCAATCCCACCTTTTAAAAATTTACGGACAAATCATCATAGCAAATTAAAAATGCATAAATGATAATGTAACCAAAAATGGAACATCTCAAGACAATAAAATTACCGCCTAATAGTTCATCAAGGGCTTGGCTTCCAGTTGTAATTTTAATCACTGACTTCCTCTGTTAACCAAAACAAAATCCAGTTTTAGGCTCATAGTGGGGGAAAAAAAACCAACAGTAAGATTCAAAAGCACTAACAAAAACTTTAATTAGGGAGCGCATATCACCGTAAATAAAACTGGATTTTGTTAACGTGTTAGGGGAAACATTTACGAAATCTCTTGGAATCGAGAATTAAAAAAAAAAAATTCAGATATGATCAAATGGCTTAGTTTCAAAATACAAAATAGTTTGAACTTACTCTCAGCAGAGCATCACTTCCAGTAATATAACCAAAATTCTGCAAATTAAAATTAAAGAGAGAGATAGGAAAAAAGAATGAGTAACAAAAACATATAATTGCATTAAAATAAAATAAATAATGTCTAGAGAGCACAAACCACTATCTTCTCAGCAGCTTCGCAGATCTTTTCAACTTTTGCCTCGGATAATCCTTTGATTCCAGTCAAATGCTGTGAAATGAAATTATAATTAATGTCCGAATCTCCAACAACATAAAAATGATTTGACGATTGATTCTACCTTCTTTGTGTGCATCATCAAGCCATTGCAGGTGTATATCCCTGCATCTTGAAGCTTCTTTACATCTCCAGCATTGATTCCTTGAGAGGTCACTGCACGAATTGCACACAATAACGTTATCTAATCAGTTAATAACCAGATGAAGTCAATCTTGCCCCGTCTGTTCAAGTAAAATTAGCTAGAAACTATCAATTAATGTCAAAGCAGAGTACAATTCCGATTTAGAGGAAATTCATTTCCAAATATGATTTTATCTATATATGTACGTGCAACATTTGAAAATCCACGTCTGATGCGGCGGAAACTGTAAATAGATCAACACAAGCTAAATCAAATTCAACTGAGATTCTAGAATACACTCAAAAAATGATACAACTATAAACGAAGACCAGAGAACGATACAACGTCGTGAATTTTAACACATCATTTGCCAGAAATAGGCCAAAAATGACACTCAAAGCTTCCTCAAACAAATTGAATCGCTTAAAATACAAAAACACTCGAACAGTGTGAATCAACGAGTTGATTGCAAATCGAACATTTCAAAAGCTTACATACGTTTATCAATTGCTTCGAACAAGTCTTCTTCGTCATCAATATCTTCTCTCTCCACAAGCTGGAGCTGGCTTTGATCTTCGGCTCTGAGCCACACCAAAGACAGAAAGCGATTAAACGGTGAGGCGGAGTTATTTCATTTGAATAAAAAAGATAAATAGAATCAGATCTGTCAACTTACTTGAGACTAGCAATCATCTTCGTTTTTAGTAGAGAAAATCTCTTCTGAATTTAAGATTTTATGTTTGTTTTTGCGTGATTGGCTTGCGTATAAATAAGTATTTTGAATTGTGAGTTGTTATTTTGAAATGTGAGAAAGTCGTAAATTTATATGGCGGGAATCGGAATCGAATAAGCTACTTAAATTGGTTTAAATAATGGTTGAGGTACGTATTTGGATTTTGGACTACTTTATGCGAGAGTTCGTTATACGTGTGCTTGTTTCTGATTCTGTTACAATGTAATTTAAGCAGTTATTAAAATGTAGGGCTCTGATTTTACCATGTCAAATCTAAGGACAGTGGGACCATTTACGCCGCTCACGTTAATGTACCTACCGTATGCATTTTATTTATTTTTCCATTGATTTTATATTTGTCCTTTTTTCTTTTCTTTTACTCCTTTGGAGGTTATGATTTGTACTTACGAATATAATTTATAAACAATCTAATACTTTTGTAAAAAGCTATCGTATCTAAAAGTCTTTGAGTTTGAACTTTGAAATTGTTTTAGATTGAGGTTATTTGTATTTGTATTTTTTTATTTGGAGTTTATCCTCAAACTAGCATCGACCAATGCAACCATACTCTAATCCCCGACGTCGCCTATGGTCAATTTAAGGGTTTCCTATGAAGTCAGGCATGAAATGGACTCATTACAAACAAGTTCTGGAAGATATAAAGGAAATTTCAAGTTCATTTTAGTTATAGGTTGAGAATGGCTCCGAAATAGCTTAGTGATAGTGCATTGAGTTTGAAATCCTAGCCGAAAAGATTTGATTCAGTTTGAACTTTAACGGGTTCCATTTAACTTCTTCCAAAGAAATGTTTGGGTTCTGTTGGTTACAATTTGAAAACGAAAAAAATCGTTTTTGCTTTGGATTTGTGACGGTTGTTTCTCTGGGGCGGAGCTAGGATATAAAATGTGGATGCCCAAATAAAATAATATTTTTAAAAGAGCTCAAAAAATATTTAGACCTCAAAATGACTTTTTTTTTTTTTTTTTTTTCGGTGAGTCTAAACATAAAAAAATTAAAAAATTAAAATACATTAATTATAAATTTGGAATCTGATTAAATGATTTATATTGGTGTACTGTTTATTGGATTGGTGGCTCCACTCCTCGGTGGATGATTTTATGGGGGCATGGTTCATCACAAGTGGTGATTTTTGGATTATCTTTTTGGAAAATTGAAAAATGTTCTTTCCTTGTAAATATATTATCTGACTTTTTATTTGATTTGTGATAATGAAGATATTATTTGGTTTTTGATAATCACGTTGATGATACTATTCCATTTTAATCTGGTTTGTGATAACGATGATGTTATTTGGATTATTTGTATGGATGACTTTATATTAAGTCTTGTAGAGTAATATTACATTTATAAAAACTTTATATAAAGTCTTTCTTATATGGTAACATGTCATATTATGATTAGAAAAATTAATATGAAAAATCAATTAAATAAATACACAATAAACGATTATGAATTATATGACGATATATGAGTAGTGTCATGTTACTTTGTATGAATGATTTTGTATAAAATATTTATAAGTGTAATATTATTCTTTATTTTTTGTCACATCACTTTATATAAATATCTTTGTAAGATTTATTTGTAAGTGTAGCATTACTCTTTTTAAAAATTATGGGTGTGAAATGTTGATTGTTTTCTATACTTGAGGGTATCAAATGTCGTTTCATGAAAGATAGGGTGAAAAAAGTAATTGGCTATATCATTTAGTCCTAAATTTTTGGAAAAACTAGAGGGTCTCATTTGGATTGAGGGATTTTAAACGCATGATTTGGTTAAATCCATGAATTTGATAAAATCCTTCGTTTGGTTTTAAAAAAAAAATAATAATAATTTGAAATCCATGGATTTTGGAAAATCCACCACCGTCTAGAATTCCCAATTTTTTAGGGTTTTAATAAAATGAGGGATTTTATTAATATTTTAATTCTCCAATACTATTATTATAATTTAATATCTCAGTAATTACCCTTTATTATAATTAAAAGAAATATATATGTTGTTTTCTAGAATTTTTGAGTTCTTCACCTTTACATTATCAGCATCTTCGAGTATACTAAAAAAATAATCTATCTGGGAGTTTTCATTCCCTTAAATAATTATTTTCAATTTCTTATTTGCAAAATTTTTTTTATTATTTTAATTTCTCACGATGATTCTTCTTGTTATCTTTGTTATCTGTTAAAAACTTGAGTAATACTACACTTACAAATAAATTTTAAAAAGATCTTCATACAAAGTGATGTGACAAAAAATAAATGAAATAGTGAATTGAATGAGTTTGACTTTTTGTTTCACTCTTCTATTCATATTTTGTCACACCTCACTTTGTACGAAAATCTTTGTAAGTATAGTATTATTATAAAAACTTATCAATGGTGACTTTTTGTTTTTCATAAAACATTAAATCAATTAATGTCATTGCAAATAACCTTTAAGCCTGTCATATATATATATATATAGGTGTTTTTGCAAAGCAACTGTCCCACACAGGACGGAGGGAGAAGGGTCAAGGAAGAATATATATATAAAAACTTTTAAATTCATCAAATGATCAAATTAAATTCTTAGTTTTTACAAAAACAATCCCACAAACACGTTTAATAAATTTTATATCTATTATTTAATTATAAAAAGAACAAAATGAAAAAAGTTTATATATATTTTCATACATTCTATAAAGTAAATATCATTTCTAAAATTTGTTTGTCAAACCTGAGACTAAGGCCCTTTACTTAAATTGCGAATGCTCAGATAAAGAGTAAAACTTGAGACCGCACGAATATCCACATTATCTCCTATTTATTCTAACTATCTAGACTATCCACAAATGAGTTATATCAAAATATTGAAGTTAAAAAAAAAAAAAATGATAAATACAAAAAACTTGTATTTTGATGCATTATTTTAAGGGGTCAAAACATAAAAGAGAAATTACAACAAAAGTTATAATATTTTACTATAAAAGGTAGGTAAATTCTTGAATATTTTATTGATAGAATTTTTATTGTAATTTAATTTAGAGGTGTTGTTATTTGTGTTAGTAAATTTTATTAGTTTTGTTTTACACTAATTAAAGTATTATAAGTTTATTCCATATCATTAAACACAATTATGAATATATTAATTGTAAAGAGCATTATAAATAAATACTTATATTTTTTGTATAACTTATATCTAATATTGTCTTGACCTCCCGAAAATGAGTTATTGGCTACGTCCTTAGTCCCACAATATATAGATTGGGGACAAACTCTTATCCTGTCTTACAATTTCATCTATGAGCTTTCCTGTGCTATACATGCTTGAGATTTACATATTGTATGACTAGGTAACTTTATAAATAATAATAATAAATAAACACAAAAAACGAGATTGTTCTCATTCTTTACATGCAATTATATTTTGTATGTATAGATGAGTATTCAAATGTATTTATACTAGTGAAATAAATTATTTTTTAATTACATAGTCAAACTAACCAAGTAGACAAGTTTTTTGTTTTTGATTTTGTTTTTGGATATGGTATTAGTGCATTATATTAACACTAATTTTCTATATAGGTATGGTTATATTATATGTTTATTATGAAATTATTCAACTTGATCATAAACGAAGATAGTTGATAATATACTATATTAATTTGGAATTTTTTTGTTTTTTTAGCCAAATAACAAAAAATCATTTATTATAATTGAACTTCTCTATAAAATATAATTTAACTTGTGTTTAATTAGATAAAACTTGAATTTTTTTTGGGTTTTGGATATTAAGGGTAAAGTTAGAAATTATTTATCAAATCCATGGATTGTATTTATCTAATCAAATACGAGTACATGAAAATTTAAATCAACAATCCATGGATTTTATATTTAAACTAAACAATGGAATTTATCAAATATATGGGTTTTGGATTATGGATGGTAGAAAATCCATGGATTTTAAAATCCCTCGATCTAACGAAAGCTTAGGTTTTTGGGAAAACTTTAGGGATGAAGATGTCATTTTCTCTTGAAGATTTATCCCGGTTTAAACAGTGAGTAACCTTACCCGATATCCATATCCAATTACCGTCGGAGCTCTGAACCGGGTTCTGGACAAACGTTAACCTATTATTTCCTGTTGTTAACTTTTCCCAAGTTCTTTAACAATTCTTTATGGCAATTTACTTTTGACCGGCCACTAAATTTGACTAAACTTAGATGATAAGTTTGTAACCCTGCCCAAAGTAAGGATAATTACGACCTTTCACTACTTGACCACGGGTAGGTGCAGAGTGCTCATTTTGTCAAATATCAAGCGAGTGCCCAATTCAAATCCCCCAACAAATCAAAATTAAACTCCCTTATATAAATGCAGTGACGCGTCTCCACATAACCGCTGGCAGTACTCAGTACGGTTCCTCTAGATTCTAGGGTTTCTCTCAATTTTTTCACACAGGAGCGGGGCCGCTCCTTAATTTTCCCTTAATTCTTTCCTTTTTATGTTGTCTTCACTTAATTTTCCCTCCTTCCAAGCAGATCTTCATTTAAATTCCCTCATAATAACGTACTGGATGCCCATCTTTTCGAAAAAGGCCCCAAATTTGTATTCTCTTATTACTAGAATTTCATTAACTGACTAAACGTTGCTAATGAATTCTGTTGAAACCGCCCAAAATGCTCCTGAAACTCCCCGAAAACCTAAACTTTTGCTTGAAGCCAACCAAAACAACGATAATAACGGCAGTACTGACGACGTCGAGTCAGTTGTTGATGTATCGGGAAAAATCGTGGAGTTTCCGTTACTTGAAACTGACGGTGACGAGAAACCCGATAATTCGGTGGAGGGGTTTTATTTGTACAAGAATGTGTTTAATTTGATTCCGAAATCGGTGGGCAGGTTTGGAAAGTTAAAAAATTTGAAGTTTTTCGGGAATGAGATTAATTTATTTCCGGACGAGGTTGGGAACTTGGTAGGGTTAGAATGCTTACAGGTGAAGATATCGTCACCGGGATTTAATGGATTAGCTTTGAATAAGCTACAGGGCTTGAAGGAGCTTGAATTAAGTAAAGTTCCTCCGCGGCCATCGGTTTTGACTTTGTTGAGTGAAATTGCTGGGCTTAAGTGCTTGACCAAGCTCTCTGTTTGTCACTTCTCTATAAGGTTAGTTTTGAAGTTTTTAGTTTAGTTTTAAATTGTGGTCTTCTTTTGAGATGTTTATGTAGAATAGATGGAATTTAAAATTTCGAATGGTTGGCACATAGATAAACACTCATGGAGAGCTTAAACTTGGTTTTATATTTCCTGGAGATACGGTTGTTTGTGGCCGATCTCGTAGTTAGTTCAAAATTGCTTTCCCAGCCCATTGTAGGTACTGGAGTAAGCTCTCATAGTTGTGTGCGTTAACTGATTAGGATTTCAGAGTAGGTTTGTTATTAAATTTATAACTAATAAATTGAAAGCTGAAATCATTAAGGACATCTATGAGGAGTTTTGCGAGATTTAGGCATTAAAAAATAATTAAGCTGAGCAAATCTGCTTCAAAGCAATAGCATTGGCAGGTTTTTTGTAAAAGGGAAGCTGAAAGATTTAATTATTTGTTCCTCCAGTGCCCTATAGCTTTTTTATGGTTTAAAAATTTTAGAGGCTAAACTTGATCAGGTGTCAGTAAAGATTGTATTTTATCGCTTGTTGAATATCATTGTGATATTGGGTGAGAAAAAGTTGTCTTACTTTGGGAATGCTGCTTTTGGGTGATTTGGATGGAAAGGAATAATTGGATATTGTAGGAATATGAGGATGAAACTTGGAGCAGCTATGGGAAAGATTTTTTCTTTTTTGTAGTGAAGTCTGAATTCTAGTTTATTAGTTTACTTTGTTCTGTGGACTTCTGGTTCATCCATATGCATGTTAATATTATTTGAATACACTTTTATAGATAATTATACACAAGAAAAAAGTGTGCAAATTAATATTACTTATGTTGCATTACCTTTTGCTGGTGATGCACTAGAGTAGTATTGTAATTCTTACAAAAATATAAAATATAAACAATGAAATTAAATGGCAGAGAAGATGAAACCCAGTTTCAAGCAATTATGTTAGCAATAAAAAAAATCTTTATGTATCATATGCATGAAAATGGCAATACATGACATCTCCGTTGTTCTTGTGTAGTTGATTGGATTGTTTAGAATGTGCCTCTTCCATTTGCTTATACAAAATTTTGTGTCTATATTGATTCTTGGTCCTTGATACTAGTAATAATTAGCTAAAATTTTGATGTATAAGGTGTAAATAGATGTATAATATTAGCATATTCTCTTTCATTGCAGATTCCTTCCTCCAGAAATTGGATGCTTAAACAGTTTGGAGCACTTAGACCTTTCTTTCAATAAGATGAAATATTTGCCAACTGAAATAAGTTACTTGAAGGCCTTGGTATCTTTGAAGATTGCTAATAATAAATTGCTGGAATTACCTTCTGGTTTATCCTCATTGCAAAGTTTGGAGAACTTGGACCTTTCAAATAATAGGCTGACGTCGTTGGGGTCTCTGGATCTTGGCTCAATGCATAACCTTCAGAATTTGAACCTTCAGGTACTAATGTCTTCTTCAGATTAATATCAGTCCTCTTCCGGAATTTGTAAAGGGGCTTTTTACATGTATTCTTTTTCTACTTCATTCTCTCTTGTAGTCAGGATTGTCTGAAAAAGGAAGGTGCTTAAATTGTCTATGTTGTAGTTGTCATAATTTTTTTTTTTCCTGAATCTGTTCTAAACTTCTACTCTACACAACAAGGCCTTTTATTTTATCCCTTTGTGTCTAAGGGATCATTGTTACCATTCTTTAGTTTGGGCTAAACGCTCAGGGGCATTAGGAGTCCTCATCTTTTCTTTTTCCTTTTCCTCTCTTTTGGTTTAAATTGGAGTCAGTTACCATTCTTTAATTTGGTTTACTTCTTGGAGATCAAATTTCAAAGTCATGTGGGCCACTTACATGGGATTTTATACCTCTAGTCTCCTGACTATTAAAGGCTACAGGGTATAGGTAGTCCCTAGTTTCAAATTTGGTGCATGCACCAACAGAATTTTGGTCACCAAAAAGAAAAGTACCAGTCGAGTCTTAAATGCTGGACCCTTCCACTGAACTTATTGTTTTTTTATATTTGGAAGTTGTCTTGAACCCTTGAGGTATACCCTAGGTCCAATGCATTAGTAATTTCTCTTAGTTATAATAGTGAGGGGTAAAAGAGAAAACAATTTGAACTCTTTTAAATATTAATGGAAATACGAAATTACAAAAAAAACACTAAACATCAAGCCTAACCGGGGGTTTAATGTAATTTTTCCTTTTATATTTTGGTGCATGAAATATTTAGGGGTTTAATGTAATTTTCCTTTTATATTTTGGTGCATGAAATATTTAGTGGTTAGTTGACATATTTTGCTACATCACCTCTTTTTTCTATTAATGACACTGATATTATTACTTAAATTGATGTTTGCATGTGGCGCACATAATATGGAGAAATGATGATGAAAATGTTTATTTTTACTGCTTTGATTCACTTTGTACTTCTATTGATATATATTTTTGTTTCACGAGTTCTTTCTTTGCAAATTTCTTGTGGAAATACATGGTCTTCTAATTTTTTTTCTGATTTTGCAGATACTTCTTTCATATGATTGTTTGACTTTCTATATCTAATACTTACTATTGTTTTTCACTTCTGTTCAAGTACAATAAGCTTCTAAGTTATTGTCAAGTACCTGCATGGATATGCTGTAATTTGGAAGGGAATGGAAAAGACTCATCGAATGATGATTTCATCAGTTCTTCAGTAGAGATGGATGTTTATGAAACTGTCATTCAGGAGATTGATGGAAATGTTTCTGACAATGGTGAGACCTCTGGAGTTCTTCAGTTTTTTCCCAATCTTTTAGCATTATCAAATACTGTCTTGACTTGATATGTGTGTGAAATTGACTTCATATTTACATAACTGGATGCAGGCTCTAATCATCCGCCGTCAAGCATATTAGCTGTGTCTAACAATAGATGTTATACACCTCAGAGGTCTAGTAAGCGGTGGAAGCGACAACATTACTTGCAACAAAGAGCTCGACAAGAACGTCTAAACAACAGCAGGAAGTGGAAAGGTGAAGGACATGCTCAAGCATTGCATGTGAAGGCAGGAGAAAATTGTAAACCAGTCATTTTAGACGTTTTTACCCCTGGAAGGACAGAAAGAGCATTGGAAATCATAGGCCTGGATGATGATGGCGACAATAAGCAATCACTTTCAGCAGAAGCTGAAAGTGATTTCCTTCCAAATGTTGAAAACAATAAAATTAGTTCCAGTAAGGGATCATGCGAAGATAGTTGCTTATGTGTTGAGCTTGAGCCTATAGGTGAAGGCAGAGAAGATGAATGCTCTACCTCTGATGTAACATCTATACAAAATGAAGCTGCTAAGCAGGATGAAGTTTCATCTTCAGATATATCCAAAGCTGCTTCTACGATAAAGAGGCATTCTGAAAGGGATCTCGATAACCCCAAACCATGCAAGTCTCGAAAATCAATTGAAGATAGCTCCAATATATCACAGAAATATAGCAACCTCTCATTTTGCAGCATTGAGGATCATCTACCAGATGGTTTTTATGATGCAGGACGCGACCGGCCCTTTAAGTCGTTGAGGAGTTATGAACAAACTTTGCATCCTGATTCGCGTGAAGTCATTCTTGTGGACAGGTTAATTTTAATACATGTGTTTTATGTTGGTAGGCGTATATATATGGTTTTTTCCTTTTATTGTTAATGTGTGGACGTACCATAATTCTTCTCTAATATAATGACTCTGATTTTTTCTTCTTCCCATCAGGAAAAGTGATGAAGAGTTGGATGCAATTTTGCTCTCTGCTCAAACTTTTGTACAGCATTTGAAGCAAATGAATGGTTTAGCCAAAGATAGGGTTATTGAACCTGTTGGTAACCTGCAGGTTGCTTCATTACTTGCTCTTTTTGTATCAGATCATTTTGGAGGGAGTGATAGAAGTGATATTGTTGCAAGGACTCGCAGAAGTGTATCTGGTTCAAATTACCGGCAGCCTTTTGTTTGTACTTGCTCAACTGGACACAGTGACAGTATTAGCCCATCCTCCAGACAGGCTTTGGATTCTGGAGAAGATATTGCTTTTGCTGATCTCTGTGAAAAATACTTGCGTTCTATTAAGTCAAGGCGAAATTCCATCATAGTTCCTTTAGGTACACTGCAGTTTGGTGTGTGTAGACACAGAGCATTGCTTCTGAAGGTAATTATTTGTCTTCGTTTTGGTTTCAACTTTTTTATGTTTCAAATCTGTATGTTATTGTTTCAGCTTTTAGTCCTCATGATCTGATACAAATTCTATTGCTGTAGTATCTTTGTGATCGGGTTGAGCCACCTGTTCCTTGTGAGCTTGTTAGGGGTTACTTGGATTTCCAACCACATGCTTGGAATACCATCCTTGTCAAAAGGGGGGATTCGTGGGTTCGGATGGTGGTTGATGCATGTCATCCACATGATATAAGAGAAGAGACAGATCCAGAATATTTTTGTAGGTAAGTGCTCTGTTTATTATGAATTTTCTTGTTAATTGACCCACTCTGTAGATCTTTTTGCATTTCCTCTGTTGCATGATAATTTTCTTAGTCTCAGAACATGGAGTTTGACTTGACATTCTGACTCTTCCACGTGCTGGTCTTCGTGCATGATGACTACCAAACTAATTTTATCCCGCTATTTTGTGCATTTAAGTTTATTCTAGCTGTGTTTTAGTGTATGTATTCCTTAAACTGTTCAGAAATATGCATGATTGCTTCCAGTTTGATTAGTTGTGTCTGTGGGCACTTAACCAAGTTATTGCATTCTGTGATATGATTTAGATCATTCATGCTGAATTATGGCTTGTATTTCCAAACGCTTCATCTATATTATTGGTTCTTAAGTGATTATCTACTTTATGAGTTCTGTTATACTTCTAGCGCTAATGGGACAGTTTGCTGTCATAACTAAATCTACTCTAGTTTTGAGGCCTCTAAAATGAGAACCATTGGTCTACAAATGTGTACATATCAAAATGAATTAAGAAGAAAACCATGCTTATTTTGTGTGTTTATGTCTAATTGATAATTTTTATTTTAAAACCATTAAACTACTTTCCAGTCCTTGCTTGACTTGTGTATCTGACTTAATTACTTGTTGTGAAACACAGATAGCTTGCTGCTGGAATGTTGTATTTTTGCTATCAACTCTGATGGATATGCATGTTGTTTCAGGTACATTCCTCTATGTAGAACTACAGTTTCTCTTTCAACTGAAGGTGACCCCTGTCCCAGTCCTTGCTCATTTCCTTCCTTGAGCACGTGTGATGAAATTGAAAAAGTAACTTCAAGTTCTCTTCGTCAATGCAAATTCGGATCGCTTGATGCTGCAGCAAAGGTTTGCTCCCTTAAAAAGTCTAGTCACACTTATATTATAATCTAGTAGAAAGTTTAGTGTTCATCCTTATTTCTTTTTACCTTACAGTTGTTAATGGTATAGATTGTTTGTTAATTCAAAAAGTAGTTGGGTCATGGGCTTATATTATTAAGTGTTTAACCTGTTATTTTTCTGCAAATAAGTTATCCCAAATGTCAGTTGTCCTGGAAATCATGCATACAGACAGACGCACAAGCTTGAAGATTTTCTTCACCTACTTCGACTTGACTTGAGACTCATTTATTCAAAATAACCTCTCATGATATTATCTTGCTTTTTAAGTTGATTTGACATGTTATTCTGAAACACGATTAGTATCGTCTAAACATTTGTTTATTCTACCTTGTTTAATGTTTCAGGTGCGTAACTTAGAGTTGGGTGGGAGTTCAATTGAAGATATCAAGAATTTCGAGTATAGTTGTCTAGGAGAAGTTCGAATATTGGGTGCTTTGAAACATTCCTGCATAGTAGAAATGTATGGACATCAGATTTGTTCCAGGTGGCTCCCTTCAGTGGACGGAAATCCTGAGCGTCGTGTAATACAATCTGCTATTTTCATGGAGTATGTAAAAGGGGGATCACTGAAGGTAATAGAAATTTTTAATTTGCTTTATGTTACCTTAGAATTTGTTTCAGCAACTTTTGATTGATACTTAGTGGTGGTTAACAGAATTATTTAGAGAAGCTATCAAAAGCCGGTGAGAAGCATGCACCATTGGAGCTGGCATTATTTATTGCTCAAGATGTTGCATCAGCATTGGTGGAGCTTCATTCAAAGCACATTATGCATCGTGACATAAAAAGTGAAAATGTATTGATTGATTTGGATAGGAAGAAAGCTGATGGAACTCCTGTTGTGAAACTCTGTGACTTCGACAGAGCTGTGCCTCTCCGCTCTTTTTTGCATACGTGCTGTATTGCTCATATGGGGATACCTCCGACTGATGTTTGTGTTGGAACACCACGCTGGATGGCACCAGAGGTTCTGCAGGCAATGCATAAACGTAATAGATATGGACTGGTAAGTTTCCTCCTGTCAGTGATTTCGAGATTTTAATTTGATAATATAGACTATATGGTTCTTAGAAATTAATGTACATGCATACATAACCACTTTATTACCTGTGCATTGCTATTGAGAAACCGAAAAGTGTAGAAGATTTATAAAAGAAGCATATCTGCAAAACTATAGATTGGTATAATATTAACGAAAATAAAGAGATGATGTACAAGAGAAGATATGATTGTTTAAAAGAGAGAATTAATTGTGATTTATTCCCAATAGAGCTATTAGTTAATTGAAGAACATACATAAAATCATCTTAGCTATTGATTGCTTTCTAATCTCGGGGTTAGAAATTGATGTGAAAATTTTTATAAAATAAAAGGGTCGCTGGTCCTGCCTCTATATGCTGATTTGTATTATTTCATGTACAACCATTACGTATACTGGCATTTGCTTCTTTGTCTATTTAATAGTCATGTCAGGCACAACTGTCAGTAATTATTTTATAAAATCATATTGTTCTGAATGACAATTGCCTAAATATTCATAACATCTGTCATGAATCTATGGTGGCTATTAATTCGTCATACCCAGTTGTGTTTTTGTGCACAACAGTTGACATTGGTCCTATTTGATATGTTTTTTGTGCATAAATTTGCATACAATCAACACAAACTATCTCTGTAGTTAATGGGAATCCAAATATACCCAAGGATTTGACCTTATTTCTGCATTCAACTTTTGTTCTCATAATTAATATCCTGAATATTTTTATCTGGAGTCTAAAGTCTTTTCAATCTTGTTGCAGGAAGTGGACATATGGTCATATGGGTGCATTCTTTTTGAGTTGCTGACTCTGCAAGTTCCTTATTTCGCATCATCTGAATTAGAAATACACGATCTTCTTCAGGTTTCTCTCTCTCTTTCTCAAAATTTACAATTTTGTAAAATTGTGGAATATACTGTGAACTCGGTCTTCTCACAAAGGATTCGATGAAAGGAGTGTTGTTACATATGCAGAGTTATGTAATCACAAAATATTCTGAGTAATTCTTAAGTATTCTTCTTTAGGAGGTTTGTAATCATAATATACAAATACTATAGGTGTTGGAATACCTGGTGAAGAATGAAAATATGAAATTTGGAATAAGCCCTTCACTGGGTGGGATAAGTGATTCTCGCATCTCTGGTCTTTAGTTGAAGTGGTGTAAGTTTGAGTGACTTATTTTTTAATCTTTATAGAAAATTATACTGAAAATAAAGAAAAGGCATAAAGAATAGTAGTTTGGGTTGATATGATCCGCCACCTATTTTTGAACCTTCACGCTGATTATTGGATGGAAAGACAAAACTTGTTTACTTTTACTGCAGACGTTTCTAACTGAACTCATTAATAAATGAGTGGTTGCTTTTATATATAAACTTGTTATCAATATACTTATAATAGCTCTGATTTGTGCAGATGGGCAAGCGACCAAGGTTAACTGAAGAGCTGGAGTCTCTCGGATCAGCTAATGAACACACAAGGGCTGAGTTGGGTGCAGGGCTTGAGAAACCAGATTCGGAAGTAGATATATTGAGATTTCTTGTTCAGTTGTTCCGCCATTGTACTGAGGAAAATCCAACAGACCGTCCTACAGCCAGAGACCTCTACGAAACATTGATTGCACGCACAAACAAATTAATAAGTTAAAGAAGTTAGGAACTAGTGTAGATTTTCAAATAGGTAATAATCCGCCCCAATCCCAAATTTTGGTACACCATAAGATGTCTTGCTATAACTTATATAAATTATAAAATTCTTTCCGGGATCAATTATTTGGTTAACATCTTCTGTATGAGTAAAGTCGAGTAACATTAAATGTAACTCTTATGTGTCTGTACTCTGACTGACATCTGTAAATTTTGTGGGTAGTTTTCTCTTGGTCTAGCTGTTAATTGCTTAGGCATCACACTGTATTTGGTCCAACTTATAAACTGACCTGATTAAGCTATTAAACCACTCCCAGTTTCTCTTCAAGATTTCTGGGTTCCCTTTTGATCCGACACTTATTTAGGCCAGTGTTGCATGACTTATTTAGTCACGCTGAGAAATTGATTTTACAGTGACAATTTCGGTAATCAAACTCCGTCAATTTTGTTCTTGATCTTTGTTAATCTAGTAGGATAAAATTGAACTGTTCAACCAAATTCAACAAGCATTTTATATGCATCTAACCACAGTTGGGCTGTACGGGCACATCATTCAATTCATGCTCTTTGGTGTACTGTTTTTTTCCTGTCTCTTTCGGTGCTAATCATTGTTTCCTATTTCTGCTAACCCAATTAGCTGTTGATGGTTTTTCCTGCTAAAGGGAATAAAAGTTTGTTTTATGACGTTATTAAACTAATCTGAAAATTCCACATGGAGAGTCTAAGGTGCACTATCCTACAAGATAATGTTTTGTATCATTTTTTAAAGAAATATATCCATCTCTCCCGATAATATGCTCTCCTAATGGAAGAAGTTAATGTCTGTGAGGAAGTACTTACTCTATGTGATATTTGGAAATGTGTGGTGTGGTCATACCATGCAGATTCAGAAGCATTAACACTTGCTGCTGAAACCCTCTCTCCCTCACCCTCACGCTCACGCTCACACTGACTTTGTCTTTGTAGTTGACTTATTGTCATTAGCTCAGACGTAGTAATCATCACCCTCACCTTCTTTTCTTTTCACATTATTATTACTGTGATAAAATGAGAGGAGAGAAACAGATGACCTTCTTGTCTTGAGAACATAACACAATAGAAAAGTGAGATTTGATTGGAAAGGGATCCCATCCCAAATAAAATATTTGTCGCAACCTCTCCCGCTGTCCCTGTCTGTGTCTGTGTTAGTGGGACTATGAGCTTGAATTGGATTTGCGTGAGATACCCTTCCATAAATGTAGCCAATAAATTGAGATGCAGGTGCTTTATCTTCCCTCCTACTGGACCTGCAGTGTTTACCTGTTTTGTAACAATATAATGTAATATACTGTGTTATATATGTGCAATTGTCCTTGAGAGAGAGAGAGAAAGCAAGAGAGTAAATGATGTTTTAATGGCTACTGTATAACAGTAGTTAAGGGAGCAGGACCACCCTAGTGTAGTGCTTACCCCTAAATCTGCCATCTTTGAAGATGAATCATAACCCAAGTTTTTAATATATAATCTGAGGCCATAGAGCTAAGCTAGGGTTCACACATCAAGATTCAGTTGACCCACTGCTGTATCTTTTGCATGTCCTCTGTTGCATGATATTTTTCTTAGTCTCAGAACATGGAGTTTGACTTGACATTCTGACTCTTCCACGTGCTGGTCTTCGTGCATGATGACTACCAAACTAATTTTATCCCGCTATTTTGTGCATTTAAGTTTATTCTAGCTGTGTTTTAGTTTATGTATTCCTTAAACTGTTCAGAAATATGCATGATTGCTTCCAGTTTGATTAGTTGTGTCTGTGGGCACTTAACCAAGTTATTGCATTCTGTGATATGATTTAGATCATTCATGCTGAATTATGGCTTGTATTTCCAAACGCTTCATCTATATATTGGTTCTTAAGTGATTATCTACTTTATAGTTCTGTTATACTTCTAGCGCTAATGGGACAGTTTGCTGTCATAACTAAATCTACTCTAGTTTTGAGACCTCTAAAATGAGAACCATTGGTCTACAAATGTGTACTATCAAAATGAATTAAGAGAGAAACCATGCTTATTTTGTGGTGTTATGTCTAATTGATAATTTTATTTTAAACCATTAAACTACTTTCCAGTCCTTGCTTGACTTGTGTATCTTGACTTAATTACTTTGTGTGAAACACGATAGCTTGCTGCTGGAATGTTGTATTTTTGCTATCATTTCTGATGGATATGCATGTTGTTTCAGGTACATTCCTCTATGTGAACTACAGTTTCTCTTTCAACTGAAGGTGACCCCTGTCCCAGTCCTTGCTCATTTCCTTCCTTGAGCACGTGTGATGAATTGAAAATAACTTCAAGTTCTCTTCGTCAATGCAAATTCGGATCGCTTGATGCTGCAGCAAAGGTTTGCTCCCTTAAAAAGTCTAGTCACACTTATATTATAATCTAGTAGAAAGTTTGTGTTCACCTTATTTCTTTTTACCTTACAGTTGTTAATTGGTATAGATTGTCTGTTAATTCAAAAAGTAGTTTCATGGGCTTATATTATTAAGTGTTAAACCTTTTATTTTCTGCAAATAATTTATCCCAAATGTCAGCTGTCCTGGAAATCATGCACACAGACAGACACACAAGCTTGAAGATTTTCTTCACCTACTTCGACTTGACTTGAGACTCATTTATTCAAAATAACCTCTCATGATATTATCTTGCTTTTTAAGTTGATTTAACATGTTATTCTGACACGATTAGTATCGTCTAAACATTTGTTTATTCTACCTTGTTTAATGTTTCAGTGCGTACTTTAGATTGGGTGGGAGTTCAATTGAAGATATCAGAATTTCGAGTATGTTGTCTAGGAGAAGTTCGAATATTGGGTGCTTTGAAACATTCCTGCATAGTAGAAATGTATGGACATCATTTGTCCAGGTGGCTCCCTTCAGTGGATGGAAATCCTGAGCGTCGTGTAATACAATCTGCTATTTTCATGGAGTATGTAAAAGGGGGATCACTGAAGGTAATAGAAATTTTTAATTTGCTTTATGTTACCTTAGAATTTGTTTCAGCAACTTTTGATTGATACTTAGTGGTGGTTAACGAATTATTTAGAGAAGCTATCAAAAGCCGGTGAGAAGCATGCACCATTGGAGCGGGCATTATTTATGCTCAAGATGTTGCATCAGCATTGGTGGAGCTTCATTCAAAGCACATTATGCATCGTGACATAAAAAGTGAAAATGTATTGATTGATTTGGATAGGAGAAAGCTGATGGAACTCCTGTTGTGAAACTCTGTGACTTCGACAAGCTGTGCCTCTCCGCTCTTTTTTGCATACGTGCTGTATTGCTCATATGGGATACCTCCGACTTGTTTTGTGTTGGAACACACGCTGGATGGCACCAGAGGTTCTGCGGCAATGCATAAACGTAATAGTATGGACTGGTAGTTTCCTCCTGTCAGTGATTTCGAGATTTTAATTTGATAATATAGACATATGGTTTCTAGAAATTAATGTACATGCATACATAACCACTTTATTACCTGTGCATTGCTATGAGAAACCGAAAAGTGTAGAAATTTATAAAGAAGCATATCTGTAAAACTATAGTTGGTATAATATTAACGAAAATAAAGATGATGTACAAGAGAGGATATGATATGTTTAAGATAGATGAGCGAAAAGAGAGATTATTTGTGATTTATTCCAATAGAGCTATTAGTTAATTGAAGAACATACATAAAATCATCTTAGCTATTGATGCTTTCTAATCTCGGGTTAGAATTGATGTGAAAATTTTATAAAAAAGGGTAGCTGGTCCTGCCTCTATATGCTGATTTTATTATTTCATGTACAACCATTACGTTACTGGCATTTGCTTCTTTGTCTATTTAATAGTCATGTCAGGCACAACTGTCATATTATTTTTATAAATCATATTGTCTGAATGACAATTTGCCTAAATATTCATAACATCTGTCATGAATCTATGGTGCTATTAATTCGTCATACCCATTTGTTTTTGTGCACAACAGTTGACATGGCCTATTTGAATGTTTTGTGCATAAATTTGCATACAATCAACACAAACTATCTCTGTAGTTAATGGGAATCCAAATATACCCAAGGATTTGACCTTATTTCTGCATCAACCTTATTGTTTTTTTATATTTGGAAGTTGTCTTGAACCCTTGAGGTATACCCTAGGTCCAATGCATTAGTAATTTCTCTTAGTTATAATAGTGAGGGGTAAAAGAGAAAACAATTTGAACTCTTTTAAATATTAATGGAAATACGAAATTACAAAAAAAACACTAAACATCAAGCCTAACCGGGGGTTTAATGTAATTTTTCCTTTTATATTTTGGTGCATGAAATATTTAGGGGTTTAATGTAATTTTCCTTTTATATTTTGGTGCATGAAATATTTAGTGGTTAGTTGACATATTTTGCTACATCACCTCTTTTTTCTATTAATGACACTGATATTATTACTTAAATTGATGTTTGCATGTGGCGCACATAATATGGAGAAATGATGATGAAAATGTTTATTTTTACTGCTTTGATTCACTTTGTACTTCTATTGATATATATTTTTGTTTCACGAGTTCTTTCTTTGCAAATTTCTTGTGGAAATACATGGTCTTCTAATTTTTTTTCTGATTTTGCAGATACTTCTTTCATATGATTGTTTGACTTTCTATATCTAATACTTACTATTGTTTTTCACTTCTGTTCAAGTACAATAAGCTTCTAAGTTATTGTCAAGTACCTGCATGGATATGCTGTAATTTGGAAGGGAATGGAAAAGACTCATCGAATGATGATTTCATCAGTTCTTCAGTAGAGATGGATGTTTATGAAACTGTCATTCAGGAGATTGATGGAAATGTTTCTGACAATGGTGAGACCTCTGGAGTTCTTCAGTTTTTTCCCAATCTTTTAGCATTATCAAATACTGTCTTGACTTGATATGTGTGTGAAATTGACTTCATATTTACATAACTGGATGCAGGCTCTAATCATCCGCCGTCAAGCATATTAGCTGTGTCTAACAATAGATGTTATACACCTCAGAGGTCTAGTAAGCGGTGGAAGCGACAACATTACTTGCAACAAAGAGCTCGACAAGAACGTCTAAACAACAGCAGGAAGTGGAAAGGTGAAGGACATGCTCAAGCATTGCATGTGAAGGCAGGAGAAAATTGTAAACCAGTCATTTTAGACGTTTTTACCCCTGGAAGGACAGAAAGAGCATTGGAAATCATAGGCCTGGATGATGATGGCGACAATAAGCAATCACTTTCAGCAGAAGCTGAAAGTGATTTCCTTCCAAATGTTGAAAACAATAAAATTAGTTCCAGTAAGGGATCATGCGAAGATAGTTGCTTATGTGTTGAGCTTGAGCCTATAGGTGAAGGCAGAGAAGATGAATGCTCTACCTCTGATGTAACATCTATACAAAATGAAGCTGCTAAGCAGGATGAAGTTTCATCTTCAGATATATCCAAAGCTGCTTCTACGATAAAGAGGCATTCTGAAAGGGATCTCGATAACCCCAAACCATGCAAGTCTCGAAAATCAATTGAAGATAGCTCCAATATATCACAGAAATATAGCAACCTCTCATTTTGCAGCATTGAGGATCATCTACCAGATGGTTTTTATGATGCAGGACGCGACCGGCCCTTTAAGTCGTTGAGGAGTTATGAACAAACTTTGCATCCTGATTCGCGTGAAGTCATTCTTGTGGACAGGTTAATTTTAATACATGTGTTTTATGTTGGTAGGCGTATATATATGGTTTTTTCCTTTTATTGTTAATGTGTGGACGTACCATAATTCTTCTCTAATATAATGACTCTGATTTTTTCTTCTTCCCATCAGGAAAAGTGATGAAGAGTTGGATGCAATTTTGCTCTCTGCTCAAACTTTTGTACAGCATTTGAAGCAAATGAATGGTTTAGCCAAAGATAGGGTTATTGAACCTGTTGGTAACCTGCAGGTTGCTTCATTACTTGCTCTTTTTGTATCAGATCATTTTGGAGGGAGTGATAGAAGTGATATTGTTGCAAGGACTCGCAGAAGTGTATCTGGTTCAAATTACCGGCAGCCTTTTGTTTGTACTTGCTCAACTGGACACAGTGACAGTATTAGCCCATCCTCCAGACAGGCTTTGGATTCTGGAGAAGATATTGCTTTTGCTGATCTCTGTGAAAAATACTTGCGTTCTATTAAGTCAAGGCGAAATTCCATCATAGTTCCTTTAGGTACACTGCAGTTTGGTGTGTGTAGACACAGAGCATTGCTTCTGAAGGTAATTATTTGTCTTCGTTTTGGTTTCAACTTTTTTATGTTTCAAATCTGTATGTTATTGTTTCAGCTTTTAGTCCTCATGATCTGATACAAATTCTATTGCTGTAGTATCTTTGTGATCGGGTTGAGCCACCTGTTCCTTGTGAGCTTGTTAGGGGTTACTTGGATTTCCAACCACATGCTTGGAATACCATCCTTGTCAAAAGGGGGGATTCGTGGGTTCGGATGGTGGTTGATGCATGTCATCCACATGATATAAGAGAAGAGACAGATCCAGAATATTTTTGTAGGTAAGTGCTCTGTTTATTATGAATTTTCTTGTTAATTGACCCACTCTGTAGATCTTTTTGCATTTCCTCTGTTGCATGATAATTTTCTTAGTCTCAGAACATGGAGTTTGACTTGACATTCTGACTCTTCCACGTGCTGGTCTTCGTGCATGATGACTACCAAACTAATTTTATCCCGCTATTTTGTGCATTTAAGTTTATTCTAGCTGTGTTTTAGTGTATGTATTCCTTAAACTGTTCAGAAATATGCATGATTGCTTCCAGTTTGATTAGTTGTGTCTGTGGGCACTTAACCAAGTTATTGCATTCTGTGATATGATTTAGATCATTCATGCTGAATTATGGCTTGTATTTCCAAACGCTTCATCTATATTATTGGTTCTTAAGTGATTATCTACTTTATGAGTTCTGTTATACTTCTAGCGCTAATGGGACAGTTTGCTGTCATAACTAAATCTACTCTAGTTTTGAGGCCTCTAAAATGAGAACCATTGGTCTACAAATGTGTACATATCAAAATGAATTAAGAAGAAAACCATGCTTATTTTGTGTGTTTATGTCTAATTGATAATTTTTATTTTAAAACCATTAAACTACTTTCCAGTCCTTGCTTGACTTGTGTATCTGACTTAATTACTTGTTGTGAAACACAGATAGCTTGCTGCTGGAATGTTGTATTTTTGCTATCAACTCTGATGGATATGCATGTTGTTTCAGGTACATTCCTCTATGTAGAACTACAGTTTCTCTTTCAACTGAAGGTGACCCCTGTCCCAGTCCTTGCTCATTTCCTTCCTTGAGCACGTGTGATGAAATTGAAAAAGTAACTTCAAGTTCTCTTCGTCAATGCAAATTCGGATCGCTTGATGCTGCAGCAAAGGTTTGCTCCCTTAAAAAGTCTAGTCACACTTATATTATAATCTAGTAGAAAGTTTAGTGTTCATCCTTATTTCTTTTTACCTTACAGTTGTTAATGGTATAGATTGTTTGTTAATTCAAAAAGTAGTTGGGTCATGGGCTTATATTATTAAGTGTTTAACCTGTTATTTTTCTGCAAATAAGTTATCCCAAATGTCAGTTGTCCTGGAAATCATGCATACAGACAGACGCACAAGCTTGAAGATTTTCTTCACCTACTTCGACTTGACTTGAGACTCATTTATTCAAAATAACCTCTCATGATATTATCTTGCTTTTTAAGTTGATTTGACATGTTATTCTGAAACACGATTAGTATCGTCTAAACATTTGTTTATTCTACCTTGTTTAATGTTTCAGGTGCGTAACTTAGAGTTGGGTGGGAGTTCAATTGAAGATATCAAGAATTTCGAGTATAGTTGTCTAGGAGAAGTTCGAATATTGGGTGCTTTGAAACATTCCTGCATAGTAGAAATGTATGGACATCAGATTTGTTCCAGGTGGCTCCCTTCAGTGGACGGAAATCCTGAGCGTCGTGTAATACAATCTGCTATTTTCATGGAGTATGTAAAAGGGGGATCACTGAAGGTAATAGAAATTTTTAATTTGCTTTATGTTACCTTAGAATTTGTTTCAGCAACTTTTGATTGATACTTAGTGGTGGTTAACAGAATTATTTAGAGAAGCTATCAAAAGCCGGTGAGAAGCATGCACCATTGGAGCTGGCATTATTTATTGCTCAAGATGTTGCATCAGCATTGGTGGAGCTTCATTCAAAGCACATTATGCATCGTGACATAAAAAGTGAAAATGTATTGATTGATTTGGATAGGAAGAAAGCTGATGGAACTCCTGTTGTGAAACTCTGTGACTTCGACAGAGCTGTGCCTCTCCGCTCTTTTTTGCATACGTGCTGTATTGCTCATATGGGGATACCTCCGACTGATGTTTGTGTTGGAACACCACGCTGGATGGCACCAGAGGTTCTGCAGGCAATGCATAAACGTAATAGATATGGACTGGTAAGTTTCCTCCTGTCAGTGATTTCGAGATTTTAATTTGATAATATAGACTATATGGTTCTTAGAAATTAATGTACATGCATACATAACCACTTTATTACCTGTGCATTGCTATTGAGAAACCGAAAAGTGTAGAAGATTTATAAAAGAAGCATATCTGCAAAACTATAGATTGGTATAATATTAACGAAAATAAAGAGATGATGTACAAGAGAAGATATGATTGTTTAAAAGAGAGAATTAATTGTGATTTATTCCCAATAGAGCTATTAGTTAATTGAAGAACATACATAAAATCATCTTAGCTATTGATTGCTTTCTAATCTCGGGGTTAGAAATTGATGTGAAAATTTTTATAAAATAAAAGGGTCGCTGGTCCTGCCTCTATATGCTGATTTGTATTATTTCATGTACAACCATTACGTATACTGGCATTTGCTTCTTTGTCTATTTAATAGTCATGTCAGGCACAACTGTCAGTAATTATTTTATAAAATCATATTGTTCTGAATGACAATTGCCTAAATATTCATAACATCTGTCATGAATCTATGGTGGCTATTAATTCGTCATACCCAGTTGTGTTTTTGTGCACAACAGTTGACATTGGTCCTATTTGATATGTTTTTTGTGCATAAATTTGCATACAATCAACACAAACTATCTCTGTAGTTAATGGGAATCCAAATATACCCAAGGATTTGACCTTATTTCTGCATTCAACTTTTGTTCTCATAATTAATATCCTGAATATTTTTATCTGGAGTCTAAAGTCTTTTCAATCTTGTTGCAGGAAGTGGACATATGGTCATATGGGTGCATTCTTTTTGAGTTGCTGACTCTGCAAGTTCCTTATTTCGCATCATCTGAATTAGAAATACACGATCTTCTTCAGGTTTCTCTCTCTCTTTCTCAAAATTTACAATTTTGTAAAATTGTGGAATATACTGTGAACTCGGTCTTCTCACAAAGGATTCGATGAAAGGAGTGTTGTTACATATGCAGAGTTATGTAATCACAAAATATTCTGAGTAATTCTTAAGTATTCTTCTTTAGGAGGTTTGTAATCATAATATACAAATACTATAGGTGTTGGAATACCTGGTGAAGAATGAAAATATGAAATTTGGAATAAGCCCTTCACTGGGTGGGATAAGTGATTCTCGCATCTCTGGTCTTTAGTTGAAGTGGTGTAAGTTTGAGTGACTTATTTTTTAATCTTTATAGAAAATTATACTGAAAATAAAGAAAAGGCATAAAGAATAGTAGTTTGGGTTGATATGATCCGCCACCTATTTTTGAACCTTCACGCTGATTATTGGATGGAAAGACAAAACTTGTTTACTTTTACTGCAGACGTTTCTAACTGAACTCATTAATAAATGAGTGGTTGCTTTTATATATAAACTTGTTATCAATATACTTATAATAGCTCTGATTTGTGCAGATGGGCAAGCGACCAAGGTTAACTGAAGAGCTGGAGTCTCTCGGATCAGCTAATGAACACACAAGGGCTGAGTTGGGTGCAGGGCTTGAGAAACCAGATTCGGAAGTAGATATATTGAGATTTCTTGTTCAGTTGTTCCGCCATTGTACTGAGGAAAATCCAACAGACCGTCCTACAGCCAGAGACCTCTACGAAACATTGATTGCACGCACAAACAAATTAATAAGTTAAAGAAGTTAGGAACTAGTGTAGATTTTCAAATAGGTAATAATCCGCCCCAATCCCAAATTTTGGTACACCATAAGATGTCTTGCTATAACTTATATAAATTATAAAATTCTTTCCGGGATCAATTATTTGGTTAACATCTTCTGTATGAGTAAAGTCGAGTAACATTAAATGTAACTCTTATGTGTCTGTACTCTGACTGACATCTGTAAATTTTGTGGGTAGTTTTCTCTTGGTCTAGCTGTTAATTGCTTAGGCATCACACTGTATTTGGTCCAACTTATAAACTGACCTGATTAAGCTATTAAACCACTCCCAGTTTCTCTTCAAGATTTCTGGGTTCCCTTTTGATCCGACACTTATTTAGGCCAGTGTTGCATGACTTATTTAGTCACGCTGAGAAATTGATTTTACAGTGACAATTTCGGTAATCAAACTCCGTCAATTTTGTTCTTGATCTTTGTTAATCTAGTAGGATAAAATTGAACTGTTCAACCAAATTCAACAAGCATTTTATATGCATCTAACCACAGTTGGGCTGTACGGGCACATCATTCAATTCATGCTCTTTGGTGTACTGTTTTTTTCCTGTCTCTTTCGGTGCTAATCATTGTTTCCTATTTCTGCTAACCCAATTAGCTGTTGATGGTTTTTCCTGCTAAAGGGAATAAAAGTTTGTTTTATGACGTTATTAAACTAATCTGAAAATTCCACATGGAGAGTCTAAGGTGCACTATCCTACAAGATAATGTTTTGTATCATTTTTTAAAGAAATATATCCATCTCTCCCGATAATATGCTCTCCTAATGGAAGAAGTTAATGTCTGTGAGGAAGTACTTACTCTATGTGATATTTGGAAATGTGTGGTGTGGTCATACCATGCAGATTCAGAAGCATTAACACTTGCTGCTGAAACCCTCTCTCCCTCACCCTCACGCTCACGCTCACACTGACTTTGTCTTTGTAGTTGACTTATTGTCATTAGCTCAGACGTAGTAATCATCACCCTCACCTTCTTTTCTTTTCACATTATTATTACTGTGATAAAATGAGAGGAGAGAAACAGATGACCTTCTTGTCTTGAGAACATAACACAATAGAAAAGTGAGATTTGATTGGAAAGGGATCCCATCCCAAATAAAATATTTGTCGCAACCTCTCCCGCTGTCCCTGTCTGTGTCTGTGTTAGTGGGACTATGAGCTTGAATTGGATTTGCGTGAGATACCCTTCCATAAATGTAGCCAATTAATTGAGATGCAGGTGCTTTATCCTCCCTCCCTCCTACTGGCCTGCAGTGTTTACCTGTTTTGTAACAATATAATGTAATATACTGTGTTATATATGTGCAATTGTCCTTGAGAGAGAGAGAGAAAGCAAGAGAGTAAATGATGTTTTAATGGCTACTGTATAACAGTAGTTAAGGGAGCAGGACCACCCTAGTGTAGTGCTTACCCCTAAATCTGCCATCTTTGAAGATGAATCATAACCCAAGTTTTTAATATATAATCTGAGGCCATAGAGCTAAGCTAGGGTTCACACATCAAGATTCAAGACACATCACTCACTGACAACTCTGCCAGAAGAGATGATCAGACTCAGCAATAAGCTCCAACCTCCACTCTCAAAATTCTACATGCGGCTGTTTACACGCGTGTTTTAACACATCTCTTGGCACTATGCTTTGTGCCCCACTTCCTCTTTGTATTATATCAAAATTCTTTCTAGTGAATAATATATCTTTCTCTAACAAATTTTACCAATGTGTTTTGACTAAGATCTATTGTTTTTACATAATCTGGTAAATGACTCAGACATAAGACATATATTACCGAAGTGTTTGACCAAACCTACTGTGTGATGATCATAAAAAGGGCAGACATGTTCAACTTTATGTGTACAAAAGATTCAGAGAATTCTGTTCCTCAAATTGTCCTTGCTCACATCAACTGTTACAGCTGAAGCCTTTTACTGCACAAGTAGTTTATTGCGTACTATACAGTCTAGCAATTAAGGATTTTATTATAGATGATTTAGAATCTAATAATTTCGTGGTTTTTAACAATGGAATGCAGCAGTTTCTGACTAACAAGTTAGTCGTGATAAAACAAAGCTAGCACTCGATTATACTTTTAGAATTGATAACACAAGTTTCAATCAAGAAACTTAAACCTTAAAATCGAAAGTAAAATCTGAATAATTTATTGAATATTCTATATTCTCAAAAGAAACAAATATTATAATTATATATGGTTGCTATAACCAACCCTAACAAAACTCTAATTAAACAAGGAAATAAAATCCTACTTAAACACCAAAACTAATTAAAACAAGAAATTTCAACCATTGACTAATTATAAAATAAGAAAGTAGAATTTAACTAAATTAAAACTTCCTAAATCAACTAAACTCCTAATTAAAATAGAAAACTACTTGAATTCCTAATATGAAACCCTAAATAAATAAGAAAATCAAATGAAGAAAGGAAAACAAAATTAAATCCTAATTTAACACTATTTTCCCTACATCATACTCCCTCTCTTAAAAAATAAACTCGTCATTGAGTTTCAATCTGGTGGGTGATACTTAAAGTAGAGTAATAAGTCCTCTTTTGGAGCAAATAAATATCCTTTGTCAATGATCTTCCTTGGAGCGTTGTCATGTACTAGTCTTCAAGTCACAATCGAATGTCACTAATGTTTCATCCTTTTGATCCTTAACTTGAATGTGTTCTTCTTGCTCAAGCTTCTCCTTTAGGACAACTTGCTTTTGCTCTTGTTCAATCTTCTCTTCTTGGAGAACTTGTTTAGCTTCTATGTCGACTTCATGCTCAACCTCATTTGATGTGTGATCCTCAATTTGTAACATCTCATGATCTTCGTTAGCTATAAGAATTTCTTTAGGAAGTGGTTTATGCTTCTTGTCTTCTTCCATAACTGGTGAGGGATGTGTTCTTTGAAGAAGAATTCATTTTTTAATTCTTAATTGTGATTCTACATCAAAGGCTAGTTGAAGAACATCAAGCAATGTATGGTTAGGTCGTAAATCAATTTGAGCTCGTATGTTTACATTTAACCCATTAAAAAATCTTAAAGCTACTCTATATAGATGTTCATTATAGTCGAGGTGGAGTAACAACCGTCAATATTCAGCAATATATTTTCGGACAAATCTCTGACCCTGATGGCATCCCTGGTACTGCTGGAACAAGATCTGCTCATAGTCAGGAGGAAGAGAATCCTTTTGTAACAACTGCTTCATCCTGTACCAGGTTCTAACTGGTGCTTTCTCCTCACGTTATCTTCTAGACTGTAATCCTTCCCACCATGCAGAAGTTCCACCTTTCAATCTGCACGCAATAAGTCTCACCTTTCTTCCTTCTGGAATCTCCATATATTCGAAAAACCTGTCTATTTCCGCAATCCAATCCAAAAATTCCTCAATATCTAAATTTCCTCTAAAGCAAGGGATATCTACCTTTAATTTGAATTTGTTAGATTCTCTGTCACCATACTGATTTCTGCCATACCCCATGTTCCTTTTAGGTTCTTCATAATAATCATCTTCTTCGTCTGACTCTTCCACATGAACTGGCTGTCTACTTCTATTTGCAAAAATAGGTCTGCCAATAGGCCGTCTGTGAGTGGCATCATCCTCGGTGCGTTGCCTTTCATCATTCCTATTTCTGTTGGCATCTACGCTCAAAGCATCAAGTCGATCTGCAATTTCTTCAAAGCATTGTTCCAAACACTGGAATCTAAAATTGATTCATTGCTTCAAAACTCTCAACGCCACCCCTTGCAAGGTCTCAGCTCCTTAATCTTCGTCATGAGAACCGTCACCTCCTAAAACTTCATCAGCTACCATTAGATCAGACGAATTTTGCTTGCTCTGATACCAATTGACGCAGCGAGTTAGCGTGATAAAACAAGGCTAGCACTCAGCTATACCTTTAAAATGATAACATAAGTTTCAATCTAGAAACTTAAATCTTAAAATTTGAATAATTTATTGAATGTTCTATATTCTCAAAAGAAACAAATAATATGTTTATATAGGGTGGTTATAACCAACCCTAACAAGACTCTAATTAAACAAGGAAATAAAATCCTACTTAAACACCAAAACTAATTAAAACAAGACATCTCAACTGTTGACTAATTATAAAATAAGAAAGTAAAATTTAACTAAATTAAAACTTCCTAAATCAACTAAACTCCTAATTAAAATAGAAAACTACTTGAATTCCTAATATGAAACCTTAAATAAATACATAAATAAATAAACTAAAGAAAGGAAAACAAAATTAAATCCTAATTTAATACTATTTTCCCTATGTTGGTTTCTAGACGGAAGGGCTATATATATTATGAGCCATGGTAACGTTGCAAGTTTTGCGAATTAAAAGAAATTAAAGGAAGTGAGAGCGGCAAAATTTTGTGATGGCTTAACTATCTCTGGATGGTCGAGTGGTTCGATAGGAACTCTTAGATGTATAAATCCTAAGTTTGAATCATTCTTCGATTGTTAATAACTTAATAGGGGATAATCACTGGAGTTTTTATCTGACCGGTAATTTTAAGGTCTATAGGGATTAGTTGAAGGGGCATAAGCTGACCTAGACACCCCCGTCTTCAAATATAAATTTTTTTGTGATAGGCTTCCATATATGATAGTGATGTCATTATAAAAACCTGCCGGCTAGCTGCTGGTGATAAGCACGCCTCTGCGCAGCAATTTGGACCACATCAAGAAATCTTTAGAAGGCCAATTCCATTCTAGTATCATTAACATAAGGCGTGGTCCTGTGGCTACCTTCTGTTAAGAGGAAGATATATCAACTGTGAACTTAGAGAGCTTTAATTAATATTGTGAATTGCTTAATCATTAAAAGGACGCTGAAGCATATGTTTATAATTATGAAACAAGAACAACCAAACTATTTTATCTAGTACTAGTAAGAGCAATTTTATCAGTGTTTGGTTTACATGGTCCATTCACCAAATAGAATTATTTATGATCCTATTCCCAGCTAGAAAAAGAAAAGTAAAAGTTATGCATTATACATGTTTCTTTGGTTAAAACTTTAGTAAGCCAGTTGTCCTTAAACGCGGTTGCAATACTAAGTGACACAATTGCCGTACTCAGCCAAAACATGAGCCAGGAAATTGACAATGATGGTTGCTTATCTTAGTGTTTATATAACAATATATGCACAAGTCTCATCTTATCAGACTCTAAATTTTGCCTTGCATTGCATGGCATTACCTTCGACGAAAATGGAAACAATGCCTGCAAGTTGCCTTCGATTATCAAATTTTTAACTTGGGTTGTTAATTAATGAATTTGAACTGCAAAA